ATATATATGTATACGTATGCATTGTATATATAATGATTCATTAAACCTTAAACGACTAATGGTATAGTATGTACATACTTGGCTTATATAAGGTACCGACGGCTTTAGGCCTATTGTTCGCTTTATTAGGCTTAGTGTCATGGCATCTTGTTAATTCTCTCTCTCGCTCTCCCTCCCCTCTACACACACACACACACACACGCGCGCGCGCGCGCGCGCGCGCGCGCATATTCTCTTTCGCTCCCTTCACTCTCTCTCTTTCTCCTCTCCATAGTTATTTTTCTTTTCGCCAATTGTATTAAATAGTAAAGCTAATTAAACAAGAAAAATCTTATATTTAGTCAAAGTGGATCTTGGTGTTTAAATATTTCTAGATGAATTTATGTACATGGTCTGATTCTGCAAACCGCGACCGAAATCTTTTACGGTCTTGAAACACAATCGTAAACAGAATCAAAGTAGTAATGTCACTTATTAAATTGATAAGCAATTTAATTGTTTATGCTAATAAGCAATTTTATAAGAATATTCATAATCTAGATGTTAACGAAAATCGTAAATCTGTGAAAAAAGCCTCAGCCAGGATTCGAATCTGGAAAAAGATTTCAGTTTGCGATTTGGAGAAGTAGATATATAAATTCACACAAAAAATTGAAGCTAAAATCCATTTTGATCGAATCTAGGATATCTTTTGTTTAATTAGATTTATTTTCATCGGTTCAAATTCATATCATAATTAAAGCTAATGTTTCAACCTTAACATATCGAAAACTTGCATCTTTGTTTACATCAGTCGTACAAATGTTAGAACAATTCAATTATTGTAAACAAATACATTTTTCAAATTCATACATACTGAGATCATGCATATATATTCGACTTACAAAATTTTATCGCATTTCAAAATAAACTGCACACTACCGCATATAATATAATTAAATACAGATTCTCAATCGTTTCTTTCTGGTACAAAAATCGATCACAGTAAGATAAGCGCCTTTAATTATAATATACAAATAATAACTAAAAAAAAAACGTTGAAGTAACTGCTGGCGCTTATCATCGACATTATGAACTTTTCATCTAACGACGTGTTTAAAAGTTTCTTACAGCTGTTTGTGTTGCAAGCTTTCTCAATACTTGCTGAAACATATCAAATCTTTGGTCCTTAATATTAGTTCTATATAAACAATATCAATAGTGTCACACGCTTAACATCACGCATTTATGTTATATAAATAGGTCATTCGATTGAAACAATGTAATTTTTAAATTACCTGATATTATTTGCCATAACAAAATCTTATTAAATGTAACCGTCTATCTTTAGCGGTTAATATTTAAATATAAGAATTTCATGGCACTCTTTTTCCTACATAACTTACTCTCTAAATACATATGATTTGTATTCATTCGAAAGACCTTTATTATATCTTCTAGAGAGTTTTTGTAATCTATTAAGTAGTTATTAGCAACTCTAAACTACTACAACTTTTATATTTATTTTATGACTGGATGATATGAAATATTTATAATGGTAACCCATCGCAGTCGCCTTATTGCACTTTCATTGCATCTAAAATTTCAGTACAAATCCTGTTAAAGTAGCATGATTAATTTTAATATACAAATTATCATCCAATGTCTTATATACTATCGTTTAAACTATATAGGCTTGTGATAAAATAATTTAATGAAATATATAAATGAGACTTTCAATATTATAATTACGATGTAATTATCTGAATATTGAACTCTGCTTACAGAATAATGCTTACAGAACTCTGCAAAATAATGTTATAAATAATGAACAATGCAGTTTTCAACATTGTACAAATTAACTGAATGTAGGACCGTTAATGATCACTCAATGCAATGTGCAAAGCAACGATGAAAAATGGATATCATTTTCTTCCATTTTCAGATATTTCCAACGGAACACACACACGCACACGCGCGCGCGCGCATGCACGCACGCACACACGCACATCGATTAACATATGGTTTACCATATTTGTTTCATCACTTGAACAATACAAAACACTTCCATAAATGTAAATTTGTTTCAGTTACACTGCAAATAATTTCTTTAAAAAATATATACTTTCAGATATATTTACAAAAGTATAATTTGATATCTACATATCTGTTAATTATAAAAAATGTGCTTATACAAAGAATTGTATACATAAAATATATCAAATGTTGAAAAATTGTTATTGCCCGTGTTTTTTCTAAATAATAATAATATATCAATGACAACTTGAGATCTCGCGCATTCTTTTTATCTTTTAAGTAAAGCTTGACCTTTTTAATAATAGCTAGAATATTTGTGCTTTAATTAGCAGTATTTGTTATATTATATATATTTGTATTTGGATACATGCATTATAAATAAAATTTAACACCAAAAAAATTATTAACATCATAATTATTCAATTGTTTTTATATATTAAAAAGTGTGATTCTTTTCATTTGTGTATTTTTTAAGAATTAGAAATCTGTTATTTATACTTAATATTATTTTATTTATAAAATTAAAATCAAGCTTATATATTCTAAAATAGGATTTCTAATAGGTCAAGTAATCGAGCAAAAAAAAGGTGAACTAAATAATATTTTATTCGTAAATTTCAAATATGTAACGAACGGAACGTTTCAACTTCGTCTTGATTCCTCATCCGTACATGACGCATTATAATTTAAGATGAATTTAAAAGAAAAAATTATAAATAAAATAAAGATAAAAATAAAAATAACAAAAGCGTTGAACAAGTGAACAAGCAAAAAGCCACATCGATGATCAGACAACATGAATAAAAATGTATATTAAGAAATTAAGAGATATGGAAATAAAAACGCTTTCCTTATTACAGATCGAATCATAAGCTAATGATGTTCAATAATAAGATATGATATTCGTAACACCTCTTCGTTGAAAGGCGAGAAAGAGTTGAGTCCACACACAACAAAGTAAAAATACGTAAAAGTTAAGGAGTATAACGTATAATGTATAGCTTTTCCATTTTATTTAATAAACAAAATGAAAATGTTATAAATTATGAACAATGGAAAAGGGTAATATCAAGTCATTTATTAAAAAAGAAAGAATTTATATAGTATATGAATGTGAAAAATATTGAATATTGTGAGAAACTTACACAAGTTAGATGTCTGTATCACGAAGTTCTTCTTTACAGTAAGTATACAGCAGATCGAAAGTAATATATCTTAAAAATTTGATCTAAAAAAAAAATCATTGATTAAAAGTTGATATTTATTCATGGGGAAGATAATTATCATTAAATTTTAAAGAAATTATTCGAAAAATGTATTTTTATAAAATATCAATTTTCATGTATTTTGATTACGAATAATCATAGATGACGGATATTGTTTTTAGTAAAGAATAATAACCATTATCAATAACTACAATAGAATATTATATTATGAATAACCATTACCGATAATAGTGTTCACAGTATAGAACTCATAAATGTATTTGAATAGTCATATGAATATTATTAAGCATTAAGACTTACTTTGACAATGAAAAATATTCTTCTCTTATTTGTGTTTGGTGGAACATTTCTCGATCAATTTTTACTTAAATTATTGATTAAATTTTAGTCCTGTAATCATAGATTGTTATGATGGATTTTGACTGATATTCTTATGTTTCTTTATAGTTTGTAGTTGTCGTTTTATCTCTCCACATGAGGCATCGCAGTCTCTGCAACTAATTTTATAAATTACATTATTGTTCGAAAGAAATTAAATTTTATTCTTATATATATTTTGACTAAATGAATGAATTTATTTATCTAAATCCAATATTAAATTTCGATCTATTTATACACTTGCAACTATTTTCAATATTTCATAAAAAAAATATCATATTTTTTAATGCATCTCCGTCTCAATTAGTTGTCCCATTATTAAATGCTCAATCTATCACTTAATATCTTTTTTATTCTCAAATTAACTCCTATAAAAATTAGATCAAGAATTGTCACTAAGTATTTTTACAGTACTCAAGATTCTTTTACTGAAAGTTAGGCTAAAACAATAATAATCTACGAGACTATATCGTTTTTATTTTATGATATAGTGGATGATTGGAAAGAAAAGAATAGAAAATGTCCTTTTGCAATTAATGAAAACCTCCACTGGTTTTTATATTCAGCAAAAAATTACGAAAGTTTATATTTTGCTTTTCCTCATATTCAAAGGTAAATTAAAAATGATAGTGAAAACTATTGAAAAGATTTAAGATATTTACAATGTGATATCTAGACCCTGCTAAAATTATGTTGTTTATTTCAATTATGTCGATATCTATAACAGAAAAGTAAGTATTTATAATAAAAAATAAGTCAATTATATTTAAAACTCTTTTTTCCAAAGTTTGTAAAACAATGTCGACCACAATAGAAGACAGATAACCCACAGGCGTACCAAATGATTGTATATAATATTATTGAAAGTAAAAAATAAGTGGAATTTAATACAAACTTAATAATTGCGATAAAATCCTCATACGGAATGGAGTATTTTTCTTATAATATAAGCTGGTAGAAAAAGGATATCGGAAATAATTTAGTAGAGCAGCTTAATGGAAGTAGTTTTGATTAAAATTTGCAACTGGTGTCTGGATGTTGTTTCTTTATTTGTTAATGTTCCGTCTGAATTGACGATGAATAATATAAAAAAAAGATGGGTTTTTATATTTAAAAATACCAAGTTGATCGAAGATGAATTTCTAATCGCTATTCATTTTGTTTTGGAATCTACCTACTTTGTGTTTGATGGTGTTTTCTATAAGTAAGTTTTCGGAAAAATCAATGGACTCTCTCCTTTCCCCCATCACCAACATTGTTATGGAGGACTTAGAAGAATTGACTTTACAACAATTCCATGTCAAATCCTTTTCTATTACAGATATGTAGATAATATTTTATTAGCCGCGCCTTCTGAATTTTTGAATTCCATCACTAATTGTTTTAACTTTACATGAATGAAGGTTTACCATGGAAGTTAGTAGCAACAATAGAATCAACTTTCTAGATGATCATCGTTCATAATATCATTTTTCGATAACTATAATAAACCCACATGTTCTGGTAGATTTTTTAATTTGCACTCATCCTCCGTGTCATAAGAATGGCGTAACAATTAATCTTGTTGATCGCATTCTAATTTTATCTCATTTACAATTTCATTAAATAAATCTTCATCAAATACATCTTTACAGATGCAATACGCATCTTAATTAACAATTGTTATCCTCTCTCTCATTTTTTCAACAATTAACAACAAATTAAATATGAAATATCATTCTCACAATTCGATATAATATAAATTTCCACTTGCTGTATTAGATAAATATTTCATCGTCCCATATGTTAAATCGATATCAGAATTCTTTGTCCCTGTCGCTTCGTGTTTAAATAAAACAGCTTACACTATTCCTAACGTTCTTAATAAAATTATTAGTCGCGGTAAAGACAAATTAAATCAAATGTCACAATAAGGAATAATATAAGATTTCTTGCCACGATTGTGAAGCTACTTATGTAGAGCTATAGAGCAGACAAAAAGAAAATTACAAATTCGAGTTTTATTACCGTTTTAGCACCGTTCTGATATTAGTAAAAAATCGGAATCACCTTCGATCATCTCAAATCACCGCATTACTCACAATCACGATTTTGATTGGAGCAATGTGAGGATTTTGGATTTTGAACCCTCTTATAACAACAGGATATCTGAAATGGTGCATATAAAGAAAAAGCAGAATGGATTAAATTTACAGAACGACACGGATTCCTTTCCTGATATTTATCTTCCCATACTAGAACTCTTACCCTCCTCCTAGAGTCCTCATTTTTCCCCCTTCCTTTTATGTTACATCAGTGATTTGCCTACTTCAAATCAACGATCATTTTCGATCTGTCCCTTATATATAAAGCTCATTTTTTGAAATTTAATTACTAAGAACAATTATAATCAGAATACTATTGTAACGAATAATTATGGTGTGCATTCAAACTCTCTCTAAGGTAGATATACATATTTTTTTAATTTTTATTTATTCTTAATTTTTTGCATTTTTAACATATGACTAAGATACTTTCTTCTTTTTTTCTTTCCACATTATATTCTATTCATAGACACATTACTATTTGTATTCTTATCTTGACGAATCTAATTTTAATGTCTGACTTGTCTGTAATATTATCTATCAATTAACAGTTAAACTATAACGATTCTTGGATGTATCTTCCGAAATGCGAGTGCATGGTATTACAAGTAACGTCTATCACTTTTTTTGGAACATTACGTTACAATGTCGATATGATGAGTTGCCGCCGAATTACATCTACGTAATTACCATAAATTCTTTCTGCATTTGCATTTGTTTTTAAAATAATTTTGTACATATTTTAATTTTTATGTTAACAACTTGAAAATGACCTCATGGTAGATCGAAACGTTTTGTTATATTTTTGCCAGCAATTTTTCTACGTTTGTTTATAATTTTTATCTTGAATATTGTAACAAATATATTATATTGGCTCGTAGCTCCTTTCTTATATGTATTGAATTTTGATCTTATGTATTTTGGATCTACATCTTTTGGTAAATTAGAGCCACTGAATACCAACAAATACATTTGCTTAGAAATATATTCTTTTTGATATCATTCATTTTTATATCAAATGTTTTTTTCGATATTGTTGATAAGATTTTTTTTCACCGTGTTGTATTCCCATTCTATAACAAATTTTCTATTTTTTCTATGCACTTTTTTTCACCCCTTCGCACAGACATTGTCAGTCAAATCATTATGTACTATATGTATTTTTAATTAAATTTTTAATACGTTGATTAACTGTGTCAAAAATAAAATTCAATGGATAGTCATTATCTAGTAAAATATTAATAATAAATGTCAAATTTTTTGTATGAAACATAAAGTCAGATAGTAAAAAAGCTCTGTCAACTAACGAAAAAATTGTACCTTTTTTTGTGCAATAGAATGATTAGAGTAAAAATTTAAAAACCTTCCGTCGGTTTATGGTACCAATAAAAAATGAAACAATTTCTATTGATGGATATAGTGATATCAAGAAAATTTATTTTATCTCCCCCTAATTAGTAATAAATTGGAGACGCGGATGAAATGAATTGAATTGTTCTAATAAAACATCGATTTTTGAAGGAGAAACCGCGGTACAAATATCATCAACATATCTGTAATAAAACAAAATATCGAAATTCCAAATGCGTATACTATTAATTTGCGAACATTTGTGATAATTATTTTGTAATACTATTTATTCCAATATGTTTTAACGTCTGAAGAGGGCTCAATCCGGTAGCGGAAACTTGTAATGTTGTATTTTATTTTCATTTTTATTATTTCTTATTATATATCTTTTCTTCTTTTTTATTTTTTCTGTATTTATAATTTATTCTTTTAATTGTATGACTTTTTTAAAGAAATGTGCTGACTAAAACTCATATGTTATTTAGAATGCTCTCTGTCCCTTATTAATGTCTAGGGCCGCTGAGCGGCCGAAATTACTAAAAAATCAAATGATTAGTGTGAGAAAGAGCTTGCTGCCTCGTTCACTCTCGGTGCGCCGCAGGCGAACACATGGACATGGGCTTGTGTAGCTACGGTTTCGCCGTCTGATTCTGTGTCGCCACCGTCAACGCAGAGTTCTTGGTTGAGTAGTCGGAGCCTTAATTTCAACATAATTGACGCTGAGTGGTCAAAGACTGAGTTTTGACTAAACCGATAGAATTTAAGTATTTTCGATATAGTAAATTTTTGTTTTAGTGAACTATCGTCTATTATTTTACAATAAATCTTTTTTTTTTGCTTTCAACAAATTTACCTTTTAATAATTTTAGATTATTATTAGAGTTCGGTTTTATATTATAGTTTCCATTAATAAGGTAGAGATGGCTCACTGAGATGAATTAGTAGTTATTCGTAAAAAATTTTTTGTAATTACAACATCATATTGTAGATAGCTCAAAAATGAGCCGAAACATGTAAGCGGATTAATTGTTAATAAAGTTGTTTTGTTAACCGTATTGATTTGCACAAGAATTACGTGCTTGACTCCTACTGCCCTGTTATATCTTACCATTTTGTAAGCTTAAGACAATTTGAGTACAAACTTTGATGTAATCCTAATAACAACTGTGATTTAATTTCTTTAAAAAAGTTGAGGATGTAATATTATTATATTATTATAGTTAGATATTTTAATAAGATTTTGTTTTTTAAAGAGTGCATAAATTTGTCATGATTTTCTGAAAATCATACAGTCTCTATAGAATTAATCCGAAAATGTCAATCGATTTTGATTCCGGTCGAAAAAAATGTGACTCTGTTGGCTTTTTTTTACTATGATCTTATAGAGAAAATGAAAGTATTTACTATAATTATGTTATTCCTTACAAATTAATATAAAATAATTACATATGAGTGCATCTAAAACATATTTCTTCTTATATTATTCACTTTTATAGCTATAATAAAATCAAATTACAAATGATGATTTGTTATTATCTAAAGTCTTTATATGAATTTAATATCGGCTCATCATCGTTATTAATTTGGAAAAATTAGCAATTTATTATTTTATCCGTTTCGTCATTTCTTACCCCACTTTCCCCTATAATTCACAAAAACTATAAGAACTCTTTCTATAAGTGTTT